GCTTAACTTTTGAGATCTGATGAGACTGGGCCCAGGCCAGGCCAGGCCTCAGTGCTCCCTCTAAGCGGTGGTGTCTTGTGAGGAAAATTTTTTAATTTGTTTATTTATTTATTTTATTCTATTTATACCCCTCCCTTCCTGCCAAAGCACGCTCAGGGCGGCTTACACAAATGCAGAAAAATACAATTAGACTCCATCGTAAAATTCATCATAACTAATCAAGCAAAATCAGATCGGTGATCCTAAAATCCACAAATCCATAAATCACTATCCTAAAGTGCTGGTAGTTTTCAAATGAAGTGCACGAACAGACATTTCAGATTGACCCAGACTTCACGGGTGACAGTCCAATGATGTTCCCACACGCTCCGTCGATCTACTTATTTACCTAGCGAGGCAGGCTAGAGATGGTAAAGCCAGGGCACAAGGTCTCTTCTCGGATGTTACCTGCAGCTCCTAATTGAAAGCCTGGTGGAAGAGCTCCGTCTTGTAAAAGGTCCCGCAGGGCCCTGATCTCTTCCGGGAGCTCATTCCACCAGTGTGGAGCTGCTACTGAGAAGGCCCTGGCCCTGGTTATGAGCTACCGGCATTAAAGTTGTGAGCGAGCGATTTGGCTTCTGCATACATTCGTTTGCTCCGGAGCCCTCCTTCTTGAGCTAAGACAAAAAGGTGTGAGCCGGAGGCTAAAAAACTGTGAGCTAGCTCACACTGACTCAGCTTAGAGGGAACACTGGTCAGGGCTTGCAAATGACAATGGGTTAAGTTCTCTTTCTCTCATGCTGAAGCCCTAAGTCTGTCTAGGAATTTCTGTCTTTTTAAAAACTCTACCAGGTGAAGGATTGACCAGCACGAGCAAGGAGGAGAAGCGTCAGCCGAAAATTCCCGATCCAGAGGAACCCATTGTGATTTCAGAATGGAGGGCCAAGCAGACTCGTCCCCTGTGTCCTGAGAAGGACGGAGAGCCTCCGATTCAGAGCGCTCCCAAGAAGCAGCAAAGAAATCACCCCGGGGAGGAGGGGCGGAAACCTGTTCCCTTCCAGGGGCCTCTCCTCAGCAAGGCCTTCGTGCAACAGCAGAGCTACACGAGGAAAGCGGACGCCACTTGTAACATCATCGTCCAAGGCTTTGCGCAGAGGCCAAGCTTCGTGGGTTGCCCTGACTGTGGGAAAGGCTTCATCGATAACGCCACCCTCGCTCGGCACCGGAGAATCCACACCGGAGAGAAGCCCTATCAGTGCTCGGAATGCGGGAAGAGCTTCAGCCAGAACGCCACTCTCAAGGTGCATCAGAAAACCCACTTGGGGGCGAAAGCATTCCAGAGCTCGCCGCTGACCAAAAACCCGAGGCTCCACACGGGGAGCAACCTGCCGTCCGGCTCGGCCAGCGGGGTCTCCTTCGGTGCTGGCCCTAGCCTCGTCGGACGCCGGAAGACTCACGTGGGACCAAAGCTGTTTGAGTGCTCAAACTGCGGGAAGGGGTTCAGCCGGATAGCGCACCTCATCTCGCACGAGAGAATCCACACAGGAGTGAAGCCCTTCGAGTGCTCGGACTGTGGGAAAAGCTTCAGCGACAAGTCAAACTTCAACAGGCATTACAGGCTCCACCTGAGAGATAAACAACAGTCCAGTTAGGGCTCTGTCGTGCACGAAGGACTTTCTGCTCCTGTATAAATCTGCTTGCCAGTTAAGATGAACACCTGCTTTTCTGGGTATTCCTGCCTTCCGGTGCGTTGAGATCAAGACAGGGCTTTTTCGGTGGTGGCACCTCAGTTAAAGAGCAACCTCGCAGATGTTCACCACCACCACCACCACCCCCGTGCCCAATCTAGCAGGCGCTTGGTGTAAATGTTTTTATTAGTGTAATAGAGAACCTTCGCTGAGATTCTTTTTAGGGCAGGAGCTGCTCCTGTTTTATCGTGTCGCTTCATCCTGTGCTGCTTTCGCCTCTTCTGTTTTCACGCTGCTTTTTATCTGCCACTTTAATCATCTTGCTTTTTAATTTTTAATTGCTTTAAAAATGGTTCTTACTGATTTTGCTGTAAGCCAAACATAACACATGGGGAATGCAGCAGACGAGTGACCCATACAAATGATTCAGGTGGGTAGCTGTGTTGGTCCGAAGCAGCAGGACAAAGTTTGAGTCCCGTGGCACCTTTGAGTCCAGCCACATTTTGTATCTGAAGCAGGGGTCGTTTTGTAGAAAAAGAGCTAGGGG